CCCCAAACCCCCAAAACCCCAAAACCCCACGAAGCTAGAATATGTAAAAAGGGAATAGACATGAAATCTAAATAAAAAGTAGTTGTATTTTGATACTTAATTTGAGAAAATGAAATTATTATTTTAAAAAGTTATGTAAAATTAAGGCCTAAATCAATCTTAGAATCAAAAGCTGGAAAAGCCAAATATCTCATTCAGGAAATAAGCAAAGGAGTTCATACGATCTTTAGATGCTTTCGGTATTCCTGTGTCTTTAACTTTTAAAAACCAGCCACTAATTAAATCTATGACTGGAGGAATAGCTACTATTATATCTAGATTAGCTGTACTAGCTTTCATGATTGTTTAATTTCAAGAGGTTTACTGGAGGGAATACACAATATAAACATCCACTTTTAAATGAGATCCAGATAGTGATGATACTTAGTACAATCTTTCTTAGAAAGATCTTGATTTTGCTATCAAACTTGAATATTTGTTCATGGGGAGGGACCCAGATATTTAGCAGAACCTTGACTAATATGTATATTTGCAACTAAGTTAAAATATTTATACATGGGTATCCCCTGATCAAGGGCCGAGCGTTTTTTAAAAATAAAAAATAAAGACTGAATTGATTCCATGTGCAAAGGACTCGTCTTTGGTTAATAATCATAAGAAAGCAGCTGATTTCCTTAAATTAAACTAAACCTTTTTGTGTCCAGAGTAAGTGAACTACTAAGTATAAGGAAATTTTGCTATTTAAAGCAGTAAGTTTTTGTAATTATCAGTAAGGGATTGCAATCAAACGTACTTGAATGAAAAGTATAACAACACTAGGTAATGTAAATCACCAGAGGAAATTAGAAGTGTTGCTTCATTGCTAAGACTTCACTTCGTGATTGAAAACTCTTTTTTTGACGATAAATCTTTTGATGAAAGTGCTGTTAAAAAACAGTTAAAGCCTTATTATTTTTCCTCTGCTTAAGATAAAAGTTTGTACTACTACATGCTATTAAGTTAAAACGAAATTGTTAGAAAAGACAATATGGTCTATGGAAATGATATCAGAGAAAAATTCGTTGAAACAAAGATTGATTATCATATTGTTTCAGAGCTAAATTCTACAGATTCATACAACAATAATGCCTATATATCAATTTATGTACAAATGGATGAAGAGGTTAAAAGAATAGAAAGAAGAGTGTTTAATCTGCTAGAAGCTTTGAGAAATACTGGTGGATTTATGACTGTATCTATAATCATAGCATACATATTAGTTAGGAAAGTATAAGAATGCCATTACTACAATACTCTAATTAAAAATCTATACAATTATCAAAGCTTGAAACTTAAGGAATATTAGTTAAGAAAGAAAACTATTATTGGACGAAATATGGATATTGATGAAGAACCTAAGGCTGATAAACGAATAATAAGTCATATTCTGGATAGAGAACAGTTAAAATACAATGTTAAGAAAAATTTTACAGCCTTTTTAAGAAGATTTGGCTTGTGTAGAACTTCTGATTCCTAATCATATTATGAGGATTACCTGTATTAGAATGGGCTTAAGAAAATCTATCATGAATTAGATATTAGAAATATCTCTAATGAACTAAGAACTCTGAAATTTCTAACTCATACCATTTTAGATAAGTAGCAACGATACATGCTGCCATTCTTTAAATCGTATCTATTGAATACAAAACCTAAAGAACTCATTTAAGATATAAATTTCAAAAAACTAAATAAAAGTCTTTCATACATTGAAGTTCTAGCTATTTTTAATGAGGGCAAAGAAAAGACTTTTTAGAGAATATTAAAAAACATATAATTAGAAGAGAAAGAATATAATGATGAAAAGAATGATGAAATAAAAAGTTAAAGACCTACTTGTATGGGAAAAAAGCCTAAAGCAAACAACTAGCCCTAAGAAAATAATGAGAATATTGCTTAAAAACAATAATCAAATGCAATTGCTACTAATACAGCCAATGAAGGATAACCTATTACAAAAGTGAAGAACCTTTAGATTAAATCAGAGTATGTATATACTATTTTAAATGCTAACTTAAATATATAGCCTTTTCTAAAACATTGATTTGAGTAGATTGCAAGCAAGATCACACTCAGCTTATCCTTAAAATTATGAATCTTTTTCTCATGTTTAAACGTCTTAGCGCCAATTCAATCATGATATAAACTTCTCATCTCAAGAAATCGATTTTGAGGAAATTGATCTCGAAATTGAAGGCCCTAAGAGATAAATAGATGGAACAAATTTTAAAAATAAAAATAATGAATAAGAAGATGATGACAAATAGATTTTTCCTGCTTTAGATCTCATTAAGTAAAATTAGTAAAAATGAATATGAATATAAGATGAAAACTAATTGATCAAATTTAATCTTTATTTCATAAATAAATATCTCAAATTTAATGCTAGACTTCCTCTAAAGGGGTTTTGGGGTTTTGGGGTTTTGGGGTTTTGGGG